ACCCTGGTCCTCTAGAAGAGTGGCCTGTGTTCTTAACTGTAGAGCCCTCTCTCTCCCAGCCTTTGCCTTTTGTCTTTTTTGTTTTGTTTTGTTTTTTGGTTGCTCGAGACAGGGTTTCTCTGTGTAGCTCTGGCTATCCTGGAATTCGCTCTGTATTAACAGGTATTTGGGGGCTGGGGGTGCACATATCACATCACTGCTATGAAGGTCAAGACAATTTGTGATAGTCGGGTCTCTCCTTCCACCCAGTGGATCCTGGGGATTGAACGCAGGTCGGCAGACTTGTCAGCAAGAGCCTTTACTACTGAGCCACCTCACCAGCCTTTTTATTTTATCTTTGTTTGTTTGTTTGTTTTGTTTGAGATAGGTTTTTTAGAATGTAACCCAGGCTAGCATGAATTTATTATGATTGTCTCGCCTCGGCCTGCCAGGTGCTGGGATTACATAACTGTGCCGCTGTGCTTGGCTGCCTATGGTCTAATGCAACAGAAACGCTTTGTTAACACCCGCTAAAGACCCGTGTCAGATGTAATCTTTCTTTATATTTTGTTTGGTTGGTTTGGGTTTTGGTGGAGACAGGGTTTCTCTGTGTAATCTGGATGTGCTGGAACTCACTCTGTAGCCCAGGCTGGCCTCAAACTCAGAGATCCCCACCAGCCTCTGCCTCCCTAGTGCTGGGATTTAAAGGCGTGTGCTGCCGCCACCGCCACCGCCCAGAGGTGTAATTTTTAGATTTAACTCTGTTTATATGTGTGTGTCTCTGCGTGAGCATGTGTAAGTACTCCCAAAGGCCAGAAAAGGTATCAGGTGCCCTGGAGCCTGAGTTGTCATTTGTGAGCTGTCCAGTGTGGGCGCTGGGAACCCAGTGTGGCCCCCTGAAAGAGCAGTATGTACTCTAAACCACTGTGCACAAGCATGCACACCCACACATAAATACAAATTTAAAATTTTTTAATGTATTTTTTTTTTCCGGAGCTGAGGACCAAACCCAGGGCCTTGCACTTGCTAGGCAAGCGCTCTACCACTGAGCTAAATCCCCAACCCCCCCCCCCTTTTTTTTTTTTTGAGACAAGGTCCCTATGTAGCCCTGGCTGTCCTAGAACTCACTCTGTAGACCAGGCTGGCCTTGAACTAAAAGATCGCCTGCCCCGCCTCCCGAGTGTTGGTATTAAAGGCGTGCACCACCACTGCCTAGCCAAAGATTTTAAAGTTTTTTTTTTTAGTCCACAGTTGCTTGAATCATAGGAAGATAAACTTGTGTGGGGGAGACGGGGAGGGAGATTGCCTGAACTGCACACACACAGAGACTCTTTCTGACCAGTAGGGGGACCAGATGAGCTGTAGGTGTGCCCGTGTCGATGACTCCATACTTTTTCCGAGAATTCCGGAAGGGCCCTTCTTGGGTCTTCACTGGGGATAGAGCAGTGGCTCCCCTCCAGGAAGGTGACGGACACTCAGCCAAATTACTGCCCTTGCCTCCTAGGTTCTTCCTTTGGCGACTTGGGACCCTCCAAGCTGGGGCAGAGGCCTCTGAGCCAGGTGTCTGGGATCTCCACCAACCCTTTCATGGTGAGGACCACACTGTGGCAGTGGAGACGTCTTTCCAGAAGATGGTGATGTGGGATAAGCTAGGATCCCGTCCTTGAGTGCGTGCGTGCGTGCGTGCGTACGTGTGTGTATGTGTGTGTGTGTACCCATGCACTCACCGAGGCCAGAGGAGGACTTAGGGTGTCCTCCTCCCCTCTCCACCTTCTCTTCCTCTCACTGAACCTGGACAGTTAGCCTGGTGGCCAGCGATCCTGCGGTCACCGCCCACAACACAGGGGTTACAGGTGCACGTGTGACCACACCAGCTTTTTCCGTGGGTGCTGGAGATTCGTGCTCAGGTCTCCATGCTTGCACAGCAAATGCTTTTACCCACAGAGCCAACACCTCCCCCCTCCCTTTTTTGAGACTGAGTCACACTTTGTAGCTCAGGCTAGCCTAGAACTCACGATCCTCTTGCCTCAGCTTTCTGAGTGCTGGGATGACGGAGGTGTCCCACACCCATCTCCCAGGCCCCCTCTGTATTCCACTCCCTTCACATCCCCTCCGTCTCCCTTGCTCTGTGGTCCTCAAGCGCAGTTAGGTTCTGTGGCCTCTGCAATTTCCCCCCACTAACCGGTTAACCCTTTGCTCTTTCTTTCCAGACCGGAGCCTCAGCCTTTGCCTCCAAACCTCCAACCACAAACCCATTCTTGTAGCACTGTGTCCTTGGGGGAGGAAGGAGCTCTCCCCTGCCCTGGGGTGGGTGGGGGCTCCGCTGTCCCCTTAGGGCTCTGTTGACCATCTGCCTGTGGAGCATTTCTGTGGGTCTGAGGCTGGGGTTGGGCCTGACTTGCAGGGTTAGGGATCTGGGAACAGGGGAGGCGCTTGAGGCTTAGATGAATCAGACCAAGGCCGCCCGCCTGCTCCCTCGGCCGCCCAGGGGCTTCCTCCCTGCTCGCTGTCACCTATCCAGGAAGAAGCCCAGAAGGAGCAAAGGCACCCTTACCGGGAGGCCCCAAACCGTGTATTTCTGTCAGATTATTTGGTATGAAGACAGCCCTCTGCCCCGGCCCTCCTGGCCTGTGGAGAGAAGTCAGGCCCAGCCCGGCAGCCGCCTCCCCCTTCCCCCCCCAGGGAGCAGCCGCCCCACACCAACCTTCCAAAGCTGCCTCGCTCCTCCCAGCTAGAGACCAAGCTGGGAATGTAGGGTAAAGAGGAGGCCTGGTGTTGACAGCAAGCAGACAGCCCCCAGACTGGAAGCTTCTGGTGTCCAGTACTTCTGGTTCTTTCCTGGCTCAGCCACACCCTCTTTTCCACCTCCATTTCCCTTCCCAGGCTGCCCCCCATCCTGGCACTCAGGATGTAGAATCTGACCTACGGAGTCCATGTGCCCGGCTTCTCTCAAGCACTTTAGTTAATCGTGTCATGTTTGGATACCAGTGTTTTATATTTATAGAGAATTTTCTAATATAGCCTATTATATACATAAATATATATGCACACAGATGTAAACAAATACACACCCAGCCATTCTTCCTCTCCCAGACAACCCTTTAACTTGGGGGACTGAGCTGAGTTTGGCGCAGGCCTGTAATCCTTGAACTTGGGGGACTGAGATAGGAGGATATCACAAGTTCAAAGCTAGCCTGGACTATAGAGTGAAGTCAAGGCTGGTCTGGGCAGCTTAGTGAGACTCTGTCTCAAAATCAACTAAAAAGATAAAAAGTAAAAAAGAGGGCTCAGGATGTAGTTGAGTGGTAGAGCCCCTGCCTAGAGTCCCCCAGTGAGGGGCTGGGGTGTGGCTCAGGGGTAGAACACTGCCTAGAGTCCCCCAGTGAGGGGCTGGGGTGTGGCTCGGTGGTAGAGCCCCTGCCTAGAATCCCCCAGTGAGGGGCTGGGGTGTGGCTCAGTGGTAGAGTCCCTGCCTAGAATCCCCCAGTGAGGGGCTGGGG